CCGTAATGTATTCATTTATTCAGTTATTTGTAGATCAAACAAATACTTATTGAAAGTCTGTTATGTGCCAGTCAGATTCTTTGAACTTATATACCTCCTTTTATGAGTAGTTATTTTCTTCTTTGATGCTACCTTTTTTTTCCCCTGATCAATTATCATATTTTCTTTCATAGAGTACATATGGGAAAGACTCAGATCATTTTAATTGACATCAAATTCAGATCAGTCAATAATATGATGTGGTCTTAAGGAGTGTAACTCACTGTCCAAAATGGAATACTTTGGGGTAGTGAGACATGAGTTGCTTATATACTCCAGATATTAGCGCTTATCAGATGTATAGTTTACAAATATTTTCTCCGATTCTATAGGTTGTTTCTATTTTCTGTTGATGGTTGTTTATGCTGCACACAACCGTATTAGTTTAATGTAATTCCATTTGTCTTTTTTTTTTTACTTCTGTTTCTGTACTTTGGGGGACTTGTCCATAAGCTCCTTGTCTGTTCTAATGCCTAGACTCACTTTCTTATTTTCTTCTAGTAGTTTCATGTTGTATATTTAAGTCTTTAACCCATTTCAAGTTGATTTTTGAAACATGAGAAATAGGGTTCTCTATTTTTTTACATGTGGATATCCAATTTTCCCAGCACGCTCTATCAAAAAGACTTCTTTCTTCAATGCATGTTCTTAGCACCTTTGTTGAAGATCAGTTGATTGTAGATGAGTGGGTTTACTTCTAGGCTTTCTGTTCTGTTCCATTGGACTCAGTTTCTGTTTTATGCCACTGTCATTCTGTTTTTATGACTGTAGTGTTATAGTATCGTTTGAAGTCAGGTAGTATAATATCTCCTGCTTTTTTCTTTTCACTCAAGATTACTTTGGCTAGTTGAGGTGTATTGTGGTTCCATACAAATTTTAGTATTGTATTTTCTAGTTCTGTGAAGGATATTGATGGTAATTTGATAGGGTTTGTGTTGAACCTGTAGATTGCTTTGAGTAGTACCGATATTTGAACAATATTGATCATAATAGTATGACTTTCCATTTTTGATGTCTTCTTCAATTTCTTTTCATCAGGGTTTCATAGTTTTCATTGTAGAGATCTTTCACCTCTTTGATTTAATTTATTCCTAGGTATCACCTCCCTCCCTCCCCCTGTTGTAAATAGAGTTGCTTTCTTGATTTCCCTTTTAGATAATTCTATATTGGCATATAGCAATAGAACTGATTTTTGTACATTGATTATTTAACCTGCAGCTTTGCTGAATTCATTCATTAGTTCTGAGCTTTTTGGTGGAGTCTTTGGAGTTTTGTATATGTAATATTATGTCATTTGCAGAGATAATTTGACTTCTTCTTTTCCTCTTTGGATGCACTTAATTTCTTCCTTTTGCCTGACTGCTTTGTATAGGGCTTCCAGTACTGTGTTGGATAAAAGTGGGCATTCTTGTCTTGTTCCAGATCCTATGGAGAAAATTTTCAGATTTTCCTTATTAGTACAATGTTAACTTATGATAAATGACCTTAATTTTGTTGAAATGTATTCCTTCCTTATCTCATTTGTTCAGATTTTTATATTGAAAAAATGTTAAATTTTATTAAATTTTTTTTATCATCTGTTATCAAGATTTTTCCTGCATTCTGTTTAGTTTTAGGTCTGTTTACTGATTTGCATGTGTTGAACCATCCTTGCATTTCTAGAATGAATCCCACTTGATCATAGTGAATAATCTTTTTAATGTACTGTTAGATTCAATTTGCTAGTATTTTCTTTTTCTTTTTTTTTTCTATTTTTTTAATTTTTTTTTTTTTTTTTTAGTTGAACATAATACCTTTATTTTGTTTATTTATTTTTATGTAGTGTTGAGGATCGAACCCAGGGCCTCGCGCATGCCAGGTGAGCGCTCTACCACTGAGCCACAACCCCAGCCCTGCTAGTATTTTCTTAAAGATTTTTACATCTATGTTTATCAAGGATATTGGCCTATAGCTTTCTTTCTGTGTGGTGTCCTTTTCTGGTTTAGGCACCACGGCAATGCTGGCTCTGTAGAATGAGTTTAGAAGAATTCCCTCTTCTTCAGTATTTTAGAATAATTTAAGAATTGGTATTAGTTCTTTAAATATTTGTTAGAATTTAGAAGTGAAACTGAGCTGTACATTTCTAAGTTATAATAATAATAGGTTGTTGGGCTGGGGTTTTGGCCCAGTGGTAAAATGCTTGCCTAGACGAATGAGGCACTGGGTTCAATCCTCAACACCACAAAAAAATAATAAATAAAATAAATGTATTGTGTCCATCTACAACTAAAAAATGTTTTTTAAAAGTAATCATAACAATAGGTCTTTATTAGTCCTAGAGAAACTATTGTGAATAACTGCATTTTCTTGAGCTTTTAAATTTAGAAAAAGTTACTATTTTTTTTTGCTTCCATCTTCTTTATTTTATATAGTTAGATCCTGAAAAATTACAGATTAAAAATAAAATTTAATACTTTTTAATGCAGTATAAAACACATAACACAAATAATTGCAATTTCTAATTTAGCTTGCAAAAATATGGCTTTATCTTTTTAGTCATTATAACTGCAATCATAATCTTAATATTTTCTATCTGATCCAAAACTTTCAAAACATAAGTTGTTTACAGAGTTGTATTATTCAATAAGCTAGTTCTTCATTAATTCAGTGTTTCCTCAAATATCTTTAATTAACAAGAAAATTATGAAAAATAGCACATTTTTAAAAGAAATTCAGTAGATAAGTATACAAAGTAGGATGTGAAAATCAATCTTAACTACCACCAGTGTTTCCCTTATAAAAACCTTCTTGCTCCCCAGAGATAATAATTTCTAACATTTTAGTATGTATCCTTCAAAACCTGCCTTGTAACAATTCTGTACTTTCAGTTGACAACAGTTCACAGACTGTGATGTCATTTCTTTTGGAAGCCCCACATTGGGTTGGTGGTGATTCTGTCCATCATTATTGCTTTGTCAACTGTGCCAAGGAGGAATGTTGATTCAGACTTGCACTCTGACCTCGTGGTTTTCTATATAGAAGAAAAAAGATGCATATAATGGTAACTATAATACAAATTGAAAGAGCTGTAAGACAGGAACAGATGAGTGCTATGGGATTTATAAGGTAAAGAAAATTTGCTTGACTGGCCAAGAGTGAATATTTGATCTGTACCCTGAAATATAGGCAAGATTTACATTGGGGGAAGGGCAAAAAACAGATGTACTGGCAAGAGAAAGCACAGTAATGCAATCTTTACAAGGTTGTTCCATTTTTCTAGGCTATGGGAGCAGCAGCAGATCAAGATGCAAAGTTACTGTGAGGGGAGACTCAGCCCCCCATAAACTTTTGGAAACTTCTGAATAGTCAAGCGAGGCTCTAAGTAGCTTAGCCCATCCTCAGGGCTCAGCTCAGACAGCACTCCTCTGGATGTCTTTTCAGATTCCTGCCTGTTACACTCCGCACAGTACTGTCCGCAAATCCTATGTATAGAAATGGAGCAGTTACAAGGATAGTGACTTGGGAAAATCCTCAGAGTGAACAGTGGGCCCTGAAAATGATAGCAGGAAATCAAACAGGAAAAGATGCTTAAATCGTAGGATTCAGAAGGAAACTGTGGGGAGGGTGGTCAAGGTGCCATCGTGGAGAAAGCTGGACAGAGCATGGGTCAGCAGCAGTCAGACTTGGGAGGTTTGGGTGGGTGTGGGGGTACTACTCCAGGGTATTTTTGCAGCAGTGTCCCTGAAGAAATAGTAGGTACTAGAATTTGATAAGGGGTCATTTCCTTATCCTACATTTCCAGGCTTAAGTTGGGAATATTCTCTTGTTTCCCAAAACTCATAGATGGTAGAAAGAGTAGAAATAATAATAAGCATTCTGTTCCCACAGAGTGTCTCATGGGTCTGATAAAAGGGTAGATGTAGCAAGTCTAAATTCCTTTAAAAGTACTATTGAGCAAAAATAATACCTACTTTTTTAACATAGGAAAAATGTAAACCTACTTTTTTAACATAAGAAAAATGCAAAGAAAATGTTTAAATATCCTCCTACTAAACCCCTTTTCCCCACAATGAATAATTAGTATTTTCAGGCTAATGTATATTTTTCCAGCTTTTATCCATGCAAATTGGTGTATACATAGACTGGAATTTTAAAATTCTGATAATGCATATTATTCTGCAGATGGTTTCTTGCACTTAGAAATATGTCATAAAATTGGGCTGGGGATGTGGCTCAAGCGGTAGCGCGCTTGCCTGGCATGCGTGTGGCCCGGGTTCGATCCTCAGCACCACATACAAACAAAGATGTTGTGTCCGCTGAAAACTGAAAAATAAATATTAAAAAATTCCCCCCCCCCTCTCTTTTAAAAAAAAGAAGAAAAGAAAAGAAATATGTCATAAACATCCCTCCAAGTCAGTGGACAGAGTGCTAACTTATTTCTCTAGTCATTTTTAAATAGCTGTGTATAAATATAAATATTCCATAATTTTTTCTGCCATTCTTTTGTTAATGGACAATTGGGCATAATTTCCAGTTTTTTGCTATACAAACAATATGACCAAAAAAAAAAAATAGTCCTGGGCATTGTGACAGTAATCACTCATACATATCAAAAATAACTTTTATATTGATGACATCTTTTAATGAAACACAGCAGTGTGTGCACTTTTGCTGTACCATAGGCTAGGCACTAGGTGACATAGAGCTATATAAGTTTAATTAGTTAAAATTAAGTAAAAGTTAAAATTCTTTCCCTTACGTTAGCTTCATTTCAAATGCTCAGTAGTCATGTGTAGTGGCTGCCATACCGAACAGCCTACAAGAGTCCATTTCTATTCTACAGAAAATTCTGGAAGACCACCTGAACTAGACACTTGAATGGTACATTTTAAGGAAGAACATGTTTTTCAATGAGTTGGTGTTTTTATGAGAGCACATTTAGAAAAGTAAAAAGTTTGTGTCTTTATTGGTTGCCTCTGCAGTTACTTCAACGAGAATCAATACCCAGATGAAGCAAAGAGAGAAGAAATTGCAAATGCTTGCAATGCAGTTATCCAGAAGCCAGGTGAGGGCCGAGCCCAGGCTGCTCTGTGTGCTGCTCTTGTTACACTGCATCATTTAGGCCACTGCATCTCCGACTCATTTCAAGTCAGTGCTCTCTGCTCAGCCTGTGCCATCCTTCTGCAGGTCACTGCCTTGTCTTGTCCTGTCCAAACAGTACTTCTGAGGGATATTATGGCATTCAGAATCAAATGCTTACACACACTCGAATTTCCAGGGAGAGACCCTGCAAACGGTTTGAGACCTTGAAAGATTTTTTTATTTTATGTATAGATTTTTCTTTCCAAAATTTAGCATAAATATATCAAGTCCAAAATGAACTCACAGTTTGAAATATTTAAATAAGATTGCTAATAAAAAGATTAGATAGATTTTTCTTTTTTTAAAACAATTGTTATACATTGTGTGATTCTGTATTCCTTTTTGAGTTGGCTCCTGTCTCCTCCCCACATTGGGATGACTTCTGCTTAGGAAAAACTTAGGTAACACCCTTTTAAAGTCCTGTTGTTCCTGTGCAAGTCAATGGAGCCACTTAAATCCTTCATAAGTATTTTATTCCATGTACTTGACTATTTCACGTTTTACAGATTTTTGTTACCAAAAACTATTCTCAGTTAAGGTTATCTAATTGATTTCCATTTGGCCAGTTACTTTGAATGGCTTAAAGATTATATGCTAATGTATCCATGTCTTTTAACAATGAAGCAGTAATTTATTTTCCCTTCTGTTAATGGACAGTTGGGCATAATTTCCAATTTTTGCTACTACAAGCAATATGACAATATTGTTATAGCCACACTATAATAGCTCCAACTGTATGTAAGTGAGAGGAATCTGTACCCTTTTTTACATAAGCCAAAAGTCCTAGTCCTAAAGCTTTGCAGGAACTTGAACTCTCCCTGGAAAACACTGTACCCATATATCACCAAGACCCTAACAAATCTGTTTTCTGGTTTCTCCACCCACTGTGGACTTAGAGCTGAAAAACGGAAATGGACAGGAGAGAAGGGAATGGTACAGGTGGGTCCTTATTGGCAAGCATGGTACTTTTTGTAAAAAATTACATTCAAAGCAAAGAAAATAGTAAGTCTGAAATGCAGCCTGAGTGATACTGTGTATTCCAGTGTAGTCACAGTAATGCATGGTCACAGTGGCCTTTAGCCTTCAAGGAAGCATGTGTCATATTCCTGGTCTTAAGACAGGAAGAAAATAGTTAATAATGAAGGCCTTATAGATGTAAGTAAATTTCGATTGTTTGGATACTTGATAAATAATAACAACATTCCCTGGAATGATGCTAATTAAATGAAGCCTCCACAATACTATCATAAGAACTTTGAATCTAGCACCCTAGCATACTGACTTTGTGGAATTATTTACTATTATGTTTGCCCTTATGAATCAAAGCATATTATATAAAGAAGCACATTGTATTATTAGTTGCTAGTTATGTACTCATGTGTGTCTTTATTCATTTCATAATAATTTGAGTGAAAACATGGTACTAGGTCATGCTAAAAAAAAAAAGATTCTCCCTGCTGTTATTTTGACAATAAATGGAATCAAAAGCAACTTTTAAAGAAGAAAAGTATTATCCCTTAAAACTAGTTCATTCTTGGGTCCAAGATATAGATTATCTGAATTTTATTGCATGCATTCACAGGCAAAAAATTGTCCGATCTGGAACGAGTTACCTCCCTGAAAGTATATAATTGGTTTGCTAACAGACGGAAGGAAATCAAGAGGAGAGCCAATATCGGTAATGTATCAGAGAGACTGCTTTCTCTCATGAGGAAGTTACAAACATTGTGTTTAAGAGTGACTTCCGTTCATTAACTGCAGGTCTAAATGATCCTAATAAAAATCACCTGTTTTTTCTCAGTGTATATTTATTTATTTATTTATTGTAGTTTTAGATGGACAGCATGCCTTTATTTTGTTTATTTTTATGTGATGCTAAGGATTGAACCCAGGGCCTTATACATGCTAGGCAAGCACCCTGCCCCTGAGCTAAAGTGAAAAAGGAAGAAATAAAGCATTTCTTTCCCCGATCAAAGCTGTAACCAAAATAAGAAAAATAATTTTTTTTAATTGATGAGATTGGGGTAGGAGATTGGTTTTGTACTTCTAGAATTGTATTTCGTTTAGACATACACTTCCTGTTCATCATCCCAACTCTGTGATGTTCTGTAGGACCTCAAGACCAGTTAACAAGTTTTAATAATCAGGGTGGACCACATGACATGCTAGTGGCAGGGACAATAGGATGGCAAATGTGCATCTCCCTGAGCTGCATGCTGTTGGCTTCCACCCACTTGTAGTTCAAAAGAAACAAAATGTTGATGAATTGTAGGCTCTCGTTTAATGATATTCCAATTTCCTCAACATGAAAATTAATTGTGTTTCAACCACTGTGATAAGGCAGCAGATAATTTAGGGATCTATTTGCTTTTTTCGAAGAAGCAGCAATCCTGGAGAGCCATGGGATAGATGTACAGAGTCCAGGAGGCCATTCCAACAGTGATGATGTTGACGGGAATGACTACTCCGAGCAGGTGAGCAGCTGGCACCTGAGCCAAGGTTCCTGGTTAGTGAGCAGTGGGACAGTGTGAGGACAACTTAGATCCTGGGGTGTGGTGGTGTGGGGCGGGGGAGGGGAAGCAGTCAGTGTCCCTCCATTCTGCTCACGTGTCTAGTTAGAATTTCATGTAATTTGAAAGGAATGTGGTAAGATTCAGTTGTCCTGTTGAATTTGTGAGAAATCGCTATTCACCCACATGGATTTATTGTCATACAACAGGATACTTGGCAAGTACGCAATGGGGAGGAGGAGGAGGGAAGAAGTTCAGAGGGAGGCAGAGAAGCAGAGAAGGTAGAAGAAGAGAGGAGGATCTGATCCAAACAAGCAAGTTACACCATTCACCACACACACTCAGTGTTTTTGAGAAGTACTAGGGGCAACTGGGCAGCTGTGTGACCCATGCCTAAACATGTACCGACGCAGGGCGCAATGGAAGGCCCCACCACTCCAGCCCCATTGCTGTTGGAGCCCTCATGCCAGAGGAGCTGTTTTTCCACAGTCTCTCTGGCACAGTAACACACGCATCCTCTCATAAGTGCACCATCTGCATGTCTTTTCATCTCACATGTATGGGAACTCACCAGTGTGGTTTATTCTGCATTGCTTGGGGAAACGTGTATTTAATTGTAGCCACTGCATGGAGTAATTCAGTAACTAAGACTGTGGGAGTCCCCCCCCACACCTATGTGTTGACAGATTTCATCAAAAATTTTTAATAGGACTTAAGTTTCATTTCCATTTTGAAAATGTCGAGAACATATGGTCCCTTCCCTTCTACTAACCCAGCAAGAAAACTTTTGCTCTTTCCTATGGCAGTTTTCCCTGCCCCTCAGCCCTTTAGTAAGCAGTCCATTGTGTTCTTCCTTCTCCTGGCTCGTTTACTGACTCTGCTTACCAGCTCAAGCCCACAAGGTACTCAAGAGTGCGTGCTGTTTTCCGTGGACCCCTGCCTTAATCCTGAAGACTAATATGTGAAATGAGAGTGAAACAGTAACACCACACATCTCAGGGTTGCCTTTTAAGGACTCCAAGTCATAGCCCCACCTGTTATTCAGAAGAATGTTCTCTAAGTCTTTCTAGTTAGAAACGTTCCTGTTATTTTTCAGTAGACCAATAGAGAGGGATCATTTCCATCTTTTTTTGCAGATGCCCTGAGGGCAGCACATCCCATGCTTTTTTCCCAATGGGTTTACCCTTCCAAAGCTCTGTGATACAGAGTTCCCCGAAGATGTGAGGGTGAGAAACATCCTCCTTGTGACATTGTTTTCAGTGCCTGACATGCACCTTGCTGCACCAGTTTTCTTCACAGCTTTACTGTTTAAGTGTTGTGCTTCAAGGGAGAAGAGCTTCAACTCACTCTAAGTTAGATACCCACTCCCTTTCCACAGCTACTTTCAGCAGGAGACACCACACCTTTCTCCCTGGGCCAGTTCAGGCCACGGCACTTTTGTCCTGTTGTATCTTGAGATTTTCCTTCTTTTATCTATAGGATGTTGGTGCCTGTCATTTTAAGTCTTGTTTACATGGATTCTAATAATCTATGAGAGTAGCAATCAGGAATTTAAAAACTCACTAGTGTGTCCTTCAATGACTAGTGCTATATTTGTTGCATACAGATCCAAATTGTTGGGTTTTTAATCAATCAGTCCAGGTTTGATCACTACTAACCATTTTTTTGATAGAATGAATAAAATTGAGTGAGAACAAAACCTTTTAGTTATTTTTATTGGATGAGTCATAAAAATGTCAACTGGAAGTCTCTGAACCTATATCCATTCAGTGTCTACTTAAATACAGTTCACCTCTACTCTGACATGAGATGCTTCCCAACCATGTCCTCCACAAGTGTTCTGCTTCCCCAGCCCCTGCATGCTTCTCTGTGAGCTAGAGCACAGCACCAGTCAACTGATAACATTCATTTCTTATTTCTGCACATCTAGGATGACAGCACGAGCCATAGTGATCACCAAGACCCCATCTCATTAGCTGTGGAAATGGCAGCAGTGAACCATACTATCTTGGCATTGGCCCGACAAGGAGCCAACGAAATCAAGACAGAGGCCCTGGATGATGACTAATCAGGGAGGGTTAAACATGACAAGTTAACTTAGTTTAGACGTAGCACCTTAGCAGACTTTCCTCAGTCCTTAACATGTGTTCTTACAGTATAACTTGCAGTTTCTTGTATGTCAGGTAGCCGTTAGGGTCTTGTTCTGTGAAGATGGCATGGTGCCCTCAGCCTTTGCATATACTCTCTCAGTATTAATTCCCAGTAAATAATAACCAACCAACCAACCAAACTCCCTCTCCCAGCCCCTGAGGCTAGAAAATCTTGCTGCTCCGTCTTAGCATTCCACAAAAGTGCTTCCAGGTATTTAGATAGCCCTCAGTTTTCAAATATTAGGCTGTGTGTAAAATCTTGGGTACCTTTAGATTCATGTAACACTAGTCTGTACCCCCTTTTCCTTCCCCAAGATTGATAGAATGCAAGCTGAGGTAGTGGCACAGGATTGACAGACACCATTTGGGGAGTATGCACAGAGTGAAAGGAACACTAGAACCCCACCTCAGTGTGAGAATCACTGATATCAGCTGCAATAAGCCGTGCCTCATTATAGTCACACTGTGGCTAGCCTATACTTCTTTGGGTGCTGTGCTAAGAATGTCAATGGAAAACTCGATCTCAGATTTTGGTTGATGTTAACATGCCTGACACAGACATCCTTTCCTCTCACAAGCTGTGTGACTTAGTAGATAAAATACTGCCTTCTGCCTTTGGGACCATGATTTAAAACAAAACAAAAAGACAAAAAAATTACAAAAAAACAAAACCCAGCTTGAAAGCAGTATGAGCCGAATGTCCGATGGATGTTAAGTCCAGCTCTCTGAACCACTGTACATTCCGCAGCACAGTTCTTGGTGCCTGCCTGGAAAAGTCTTGGAGGTTATCGTGGAAGTTGCTTTCCTCCTATTGGTGTCCCCTTTCCCTGCTACCAAAAAAAGTCTTTCACAGATAGAGCTAAGGTCAAAGATGAGTGAAAGAACGTAATCTTTGTATCCATTAACTGAAGCCCCTCAATCTGAGTCAGTAGAGGACTTTGTAGGGGATTGTGCTGACTATCACAGATGCAAAAACTTGCCCAAATAGAGCAAAAAAAGCAGGGGACATTTACCATTTACATTGTGAGTGTGCAAGATACAATGGGATGTAACTGCTTTGTTGTTCTCTTTACTCTGTCCTTGTAGAGGTATGAAAAGCTATATTGCTACAGGCAATTTATTTAATAATTGGAAGCCATATTGATAATGGATGTGGTAATATTTGTAAAGTTTAATCTACTTTAAGCAGCAGTAACTAATGGAATTTTTTTCCTTGATCACATATGTAGCACTTTTGTTACTTTTTAAAGATATTTATATTTGATAAATCTTTTTTCATTTTGAGAACTCAAAATACCAAACAGTGAACTTGCGTTTAAAGTCACCCTGTGATCACCTTGTCATCCAGTAGCAAAATGATGAACTATTCATGCATCAAAGAAAATTACATCTGCTGGCCTTGTATGAAAGTGATCTCCTGGCATCGCGATTAAATGACACACTGTCACTATGGGTGAGAAGAAAGAGCCTTCAGTGGCAGGGTAGGGGTGTGTCTGAAAGAGGCACAATGGCTGTGTGTTTTCTGCCTCATTCCGTCTCCTTCATATGTCTAACAAAGCCTTGTTTAAAGGGGAGTGTGGGCTGGCGTTGAGCAAGGCTTGTATCTCTACCATTACCTAGAAACAGTTTCTAAGATGGAAGGAAGGTGCCATTTCCCCTTCTCCCTCCTCCCTCACCAAATGTATTCGAAGTGAGAGAGAAGAAAGATTCCTGACTTTGTCCTTGTTTTCCCCCTCTCATTTGTGGGATTTTGAATATCTGCCAGTTGTTAGCTGGTCTCAGTCCACTTAAGACATACACTGACAGGTCCTCCCCTTAGCCGTAAATCCTGCTTATATATAAGTATGAAGAAGTCTGCGAGGGCATTAGAATGCCATCTACCTAGTCTGTGACTTTAAAGATCTGCAGTAGGGCCTGGTCCTGCCCGTAGGGAAAATGTATGCACTTTTTCTCCCAGCTTCCAAGAATTTAAGTAAAACTGAGCAGTCTTCTCTGTCTTACTGTGTTACTTGAACCAACAAATTCAAGAGTAGCATTAATTATTCTCAGGAATGAGCCCACCACCACCACACACCTAGTCATATTCTTTCTTGGTTTATTTGACTTATTTCAGTTGGGAGATTTTGTTGGCTTTATTTCCTTTTTAGAAGAAATATGTTGTATCTTTCCTTTTTGGTGGATTTTTTTTTTTTTTTTGGCTTATTCTCAGTTGAGTCAGAAAGAACAAGGGGAGAAAGAAATGTATTCTCTGACAAGCTACTTCCATGATTTATTGTGGGGAGATTATTGTAATTGATGGCTTCTTTACGATGGGATTCCTGTGTCATCTGTTCTTGCTTTTTAAAGGAACAGACCCAAACTGCTAAGACAGCTGCAGTCTAAAGAAATTCCGTGATTGCCATAGAAAGAGCTAGAATGCTTCATTGTTTCAAGGCCTTAAAGGAAGCAAAGAAATGTCGGAGAATATGGTGGAGCTGGCAGTGTGTAGGCAATGCGGACCCTGTCTTGGAGTGTGGTGACAGTGAGGTGGCAGGCACCCTGGGGGTGGGGCTGTGGAGGAAGGCTGGGGAGGGCTGCCTGCTGCATAGCCCATGCCTTATCTAGGACTTTTGCTTTTCACCAAGAAGAAAAAGTTCCTTCTTTGGGGTTAAGATTGAAATATACCATCGGATTTCTGTTTGTCTCCAGGTTCACTTTGGCTATATCTTGTCCAGACCACCTTTAGTTCTTATAATGGCAAATAGAGCTGCCACTGTTTGATTTTTAGTATCTTTGGATGGGAAATATTTTCTTAAGTTTTTTTCAGGTTTTAGATGTGGTATTAAAATAGAAACCCTACAGTGCTCTAAAGGGAAAGGAGCCAGGCTCTTCAAACTCACACTTTTCGGTGTCTCTGCCCCTGCTTTCATCTCCGTCTGTATTTCTCCAGGCCCCAGAGGGCTCTTTCAGGGACTATTCTTCCTGGTTGAGGAAGACTCTTAACAGTGAGGTGTGAGGTGACCTGCCAGCCAAGTATTCATGTGGTTTGTCCTTAGTTATTTTTTAGATACTTTAATCGGATGACTGTAGTCAGATGGGTAGACTTCCCTTCCTTCCTGAAACACTGTACATGGGGACTTTTCAAGATGGACCATCTGCCTGTGGATAACCTTACTAGCAGATGGAAGCAGGCAAGGGGACACAGGAAACAACACTCTTACCTAGGCTTTCTAGCACCATTCAACACTAAGTAGACAGTTTCTTTCAGCATAACATATAATGTAGAAGTACCCCATAAAACAAATTTCTTCCCAATTTTTGTCCTTTAAGTGCCCCATCACAGGAAAAGGACACCTGGGACAGACAAGCAAGGAGCCTAGTTTAAAGTACCTTTCACCCCAACTCAGTAGAAGTAACCCCACAAAAAGACTTGAAGACTTGAAAGAGGATGATCATTAATACTGAGTTACACAAATCCAGTCCTCCAGTTCCTGAAAGATTTATGATTCAACAATACCCATTTTAGGTCCAGATGTCTGGATATATTTTTACCTCTAAGGGGATAACACATGAAGAAGTCACTGAAGTTGTTTGAATTCTACCTGTTTGGCCTTTGTCTTTAGGGAATCTTGATTTTAAAAACTTGCCTCTTGGATACCAATCATCAGGCACCAAGTATAATAGACTCTCAGTCAATAATCTGCCACTTCCTGTCTCTGAATAGCTCCTCTTCCATTTTTCTAAGTGTTCTACCATGGTGCCCTCATCTTGAGTTGACTTTACTAGAACTGTTAATCCTCTGGCCACAGGCAAAGTGGGTGGTTCACCCATCTCTGAACACAGACCCCTCCTGTGATGGCCAGCTTCATGATGTCTGCCCACAACAGTGGAATTGAGTTCTGTTCCCCAAACAACTGCCCATCCTGTCCTAGAAATGTGAACTTGAAGCCCTTTTTCCCTTTGATCCTAAGGAGGATTTGAAGTAGTCTTCCCTTTTAGCTTATGGCTCTGCCTCTTAAAATTGCCTTTTATCTTTTGTTCAGAGAACAACCAGAGTATTTTTTTCCCAGTGAGTCTCAACAGATTCTTAGGCAATAATTTTCCTTGTGGTTGATGATCTTGTGTTCAGTAGTTCTCCACATTTAATAGTTATGACCTCTCCTACGTTTTGTGTTGGTTTCATGTTAATCTTTGTGATCAAAATCCTAAGCCAGAGTGGTGGTAGATTTCTTTCCTTTTGTTGTGATTTTTAGTGATGTTTGACTACTGTATTCATTGGGGCTGCATCAAGACCAGCCATATCCATTTATAGCTTTACTGAGCCAGATTTATTTGTCAAGTTTTCCCAAGTAAAAGTTGGGCGCATTGACCAGCTCTGCTGGTGGTGTCTTCAGGGGAGTGGGAGTGGGGCGGGAGGTCTAGGGCAGGAGTGGGTGTTTCGTGTGTACAGCATTCCTTTTTCTGTGTGCTCTTTAAATAGCAAGGATGTTTACTCAGGATCACTCGTCAGCCATATTGGTTTTGGCAAACTTAGCTCGTGCCCTGAAAACTGTTTCTTCACTTACTGTTTCTTCATTTCCATAGTGTCTGGCTTAACGTAGCCTGAAAGTAGTGTGTACCCTGATGGGAGTGGAAGATTTCCTGGGAAGGAACTGTGAATGGCCAGCTTATTTCTGAGGATTTCATGATAGCGTGCTGTCAGAGCAGAGGCCCTTTCTTTTTCTGTTCTGTGGTTTTCTTCATTATCCACTTTTGGTTTCAAAGATGCCTATCACTTAAGAAGAGAGATCTCCTTCTCGCTCTCAAGAGAACTAACATACAGCAGCAGCAGCGAAGCCTGTTGAGATGCAGCACACCAACATACCAGTTTCCTATTGACTCAAACTCCTCTGCACACACAGGGTATATTCAGAAAGGCCATTGTCAGTGTCCTTTCTCTACAAACTGAAAGTGAGAAGCCCTGTCCTTGCCTCCTACAGGACTGATGTTTGACTCGCCTCTCAGGAGTGCGACTTCGTTCCTATCTAGGTACCTTCAAAAGCTGGAAGTTTGTAAATTGAGAATTTTCTAAATCCATTCTATTATTCTTTAATTTGGGCAGAACTAACTCTAGCTGATCTCATTGGGGTGAAACCTGACTGGCCTTTCTGCAATCTGGCAGTTTATCGCGCGCATCCCACACCCATCAGCCCCAACAACAGCAGGACACGTCAGCAGAGGAAGCTTTGCGGCTGTCCTCTGCTGACGCCTCCTTTCTGTGGCCAGTCTCAGCAGCAGTCCTCATGCCCAGAGTCTGAACCTCAGTGCAGTGGCCTTGGCAGCGGGCAGCAGGAGCACATGCAGCTTGGTATGTGCTTGGGAAGTCCTGGGAGGGCAGCTTCCCTGACTCCATTTTCATTTTCTCTCTTTTAAATAAGACTGGCTGTGTACAGCCATAATTAACTCACAAATTCACATTGGTGTGCTGTGATCAAATGAAGGTTTGGCTGAATCTCTTCAAATTGTAACCATGGTAATTGAGGGGGGTGGCATAGAATGAATATATAAAAATATAATGGCAATTGTTCTGAATGACTGAGTGTCCTCCTGACATGTAATTAGCTGTTTTAGCAGGATGTAGATTGGCATGGTCATAATTAAGAGGATTTCTGTCCTTTATGTGATTGAAAATAGCAGAGCTTCCATCCCTGTTCCTTTTTAGCACTAATGCTCCCAAGAACATTTGGAACAGCAACTCAGTAAACTAAAATAATGACACAGTATTCATGTGGTCCCAAAGTAGAAGAGAAAGATTTAGAGTTATTTCAGTTCCAAAATGGAAGCCACCCATTGTTGCCCACCATCTGACTTCTAGTTCTTGAAACTGCTCTCACATCCACTTTCAGCCCGCTTCACCTGGGGCAGGAAGCGCAGTCGGAATCCCAGCTGCCAGCCTGGGAAGGCCTGGGGCTGCCTGCACCCACTTGCTGGCCTTCACTCCTGGTACCTTGCTGGCCTGACATGGCGACAGTCACAGCCTCCGGGTATTTCTGATGCCATCACCGGTCACTATTCACCAAGCAGAACTTCATGGGGACGAATGACATTTTCCTCCCTGGATCATAGGATCCAGAGCAGATGATACGAATGGAACCTGGCGCCTGTAGTATTCTGAAGTCACCAGGGCAGGAGGAGGCGTGAGTCTGCCCCAGCTCCTCACTTGCCACCAGGAGGGTGCCACCTTAGGTGACTCCGCTGTGTCAGTGGCTTGTCTCCTCTCCCTTCCGCTGTCCTCTATCCCCGCTGCGCCTGCCCCAAGGGGCATCACATGATCTTTACACTGTCTGTGGCCCTTGCTCTTCTCCTGCTGAAGTTATCAGTCATGTTGGGTAGGATCCAAGACGCGCTGGCCTTTCTCTGGCTGGCTTGGTGTTTTTTGTCGCTTGCGGGAGCCTTTACCTCACTATTCCATCAAGAGCCTGTAGGAACGCGGCGGCCAGCAGCACCACGGGCCTTCTCAACCCATCCCCTGTGTGCTCAGGAGTCATGCTCTGGGAGCCTGGGGCCACTTGCCTGTCCTCCCCAAGGCTGGACACTCCAGGACTGGTTAGTAGTTGCTGGAGAAAACTCAGCATGGCTTTTTCCCTTCTTCTTTCAGTGTTTGTCCTTAAACAAGCCTTTCTCACACCTCAGAAGCAGCCCTTGCCTAGCTGACCTATTAGTTACACTTCCGTTTCCTGAGGATGCCGAGAGGTGGCTGCCTGTTTAGAACTATCCTCTTCCCCTGTCCCCAGACACACAGTTTAGAAGGTTTTTATGCCTTTTATCCTTCCCAAAATACCTAAGAAATGTATAGAAGTTGGGCTAGTACAGGAAAAAGAACCTGTGAAAGATTTTTATTCAGCGCTTCTATAAACGCCACCTTACCCGTCACCACCAACACACGCGCGCGCGCACGTATGTCTACAGTCGCTGAAGGCTGCTGTCTTTGGGATCTGTCAGTCTCTGGGACAATTGATTATGGGCTTATAACCCCAAAGAGCGGAGCATCCCTTATCTTGTTTTCAAAGCTACTGAAAGGGGACTCTGCGTTAGCACTTGGAATCTGCCCTAGGACTAGAGACTCTAAGGACTGACCAGATGGGCTAATTCTGTGATCTGTGAGACATGCACCAAGACAGCCAGCAGAAGATGGGACCTCCTTACATGAGCTGCTGGCCTAGGGATCTGAGTCCCAGATGTGCTGCCCTGGGGACAGTGCTACTTACACAGACGTGGCCCTGCTTACATTCTCAGATGTTCCCAGAGGCTACTCTGATCAAACAACCCTACACCAGATGTTCCTGTACCACCAGCAGCCCACCCTCCCCCAAGAAAACCCCTCACCAAACTGATGAAGACCTAGGTAATACGAAGTCAGCTTTTTGGAAGAAAACAGCAAAAGTAAATAGTCTTTGTAAGAAATCTAGAGGGAAGATGCTGTCATCCGTAACCTTGATAGTACCGGAGACACTACTGTTCCTTTGAGTTCTCAGCTCAGAAGAGCACCTGACACACGCATGGTGTTCCCTGGGCACTGGTCCAAGCATCTGTACTGCCGCCCCTGGTCCTCAGGGAGGCCCACACCCTCACCCTGCAAGCCAGATGGGCCTCCAGCGCGTGCTGCTTCTAGTGGATGCAAGGCAGGGGGGACCTGCTCACCCCTGCTGCTGAAGTCATGTCTGCCAACCTGCTTCCTTTTCTCCTGGGACAGCACTGGCCGTCCAGTGCAGTAGCACACTATCACATGGCCCCTTCTCTGTGAGCTGAGTACCCTTTGACGTAGAGCCAGCCAGGAAGAGGACCCAACCCCACAGCCTTCCTCCACAGCCCTCCCTGAGGCCTCCTCCTGGGTCAGGGTCACAGCAGGCCCCACAGCTTGTCGGGAGGGGCAGAACACATGCCAGCGGGTGCTCCTTGCCCCACCCCACCCCCGCACAGCAGTGGTGGCAGAGTGGCACTTCCAGTGTCTGCTGCTCTCTCTTCAGCTCTCTTAGCAACTTCCCAGGTTCCTGCTGTGTCCAAACATGGTTTTGCTCACCCTCCGTCCTCTGCACCGTAGTCGTGATGGGAGGCAGCGGGGTGTGGGAACTGGGCTCTGGTGTTGTGGTGCTGAGCCTCCGCCTTGCCTTGTGCCTCCCTGGCTCCTTGGGAGCCTTAACTGGCCTATAAGTAGCAGCTGCATGGAGACAAACCCAGATTCAGGCCCAATAGGGAACTCTAGTGTCCAGAATCCAGGAAAGATTGAGCTGCCTTGGGGTAGGGGTTTTGGGCCTTGTCTGCCAGGGTTCGTGTGGGGGCTCAGTGACTGGTCAGGAACACTGAAGAGGAGATACAGGCTCCAAATGGACCTGAAAATTCAGCTAACTAAAATTCTGTGCCCTCTCCCTTTTCAGCTCTTCCCCCATACTTGATGGGTTCTCTGGGTACTAGTTCTGTCACGTTCTCTCTTCTGATCTGTGTCACATCATAGGCATCCTTGAAGCCCAAGAGAGTGAAAACAGGAGCAGGACCACAGGTGTGGGCAGTCCTGGTCAGACAGTCTACCAGGTGACTAGTTAGGGCTGGTTGTGTTGTTAGCTGGCAGTGGGGATTATCTTACCCAGCCCTCATCCCCCATGAACACCTTAATTTGGAGGGGAAAGGGTATGTGTGCCTTTCATTTTTGTGCTGATCCAGATTTTGCTTCTCTGGTGGTGGTCAGATGACGTGGAAATTTAGAACAGGGACCACTGCTTGGTGCTGTGCGAGGAGGGAGCCCACAGGGGTCGGGGCAGAAGCAAGACTTAGGACTTGTGGTTTCAAGGTGTGTTCCTCCCTCTCGGAATTGCCAGTGTCCCAGCACTTACAGGTGGAGTCTGAACAGTCTTGTTCTGTGGCTTCCTTTGAGCACAGAAACCTCTCCCATTTTTGCTTTATTGGAACTAAGAGCCCAGCATAAGTGTGAGCGTCACTGTCCCACCTCATCGTTCACTGAAGCTGTTAAATTGGAAACAAGGACGTCAGTGCTGTGTCAGTGTGAGCCTCTGCGGGTGCCACACTGTCCTCTCTGTTGGGGCCAGAGCCAGGGGCAGCACAGGCTGAGTAGCCCACGTGCACTCTCAGGGGATGAGTGAAGCACCTCCCTGCAGCTCTGGAAGTGGCCACCAGGAAGGCCAAGCCGGAGTTCCAGGGTGAGGGCAGAGTGGGCTGTCCACACTCTGGAAGCTCTGGCGAGTCCTCTCCTTACCACCCTTTGGTTTTGCCCAAATACCACCATGCGGGGCCTTGTCTTTTCCTAGTAGTATCCTCTGGCTGACCCTGTGTGTAACCCGTTGGGGTGGCCCGTGGCAGCCCAGCCTGCTGCCTTAATGGCTGCAGAGTGGGGACCTGGAGAGGCCTCTGCAGGCCGCTGAGCCCTACATATATCACTGGCTTCTTCACACCTCCTGGCTGCAAGGTAGGATGCTCTCTCTGCCAGAATGTGCCAAGATCATGGCAGTGGCCTGCCCCGAAGAGCCCACAGCCTTCTCTGATTTCCCCCGGGCTCGCCTCCCTCCCAGGGGCATGTTGGGTGTATTTCCAGGATAAATTCTTATTTATGTTTAAGTGCCTAAGCAAGTTACAGACCTCTGGGACCTGCCAGAGAGTCAGCCTGTGCCCTGTCCTTCCCACCCTGCACCTGGCCCTCAGGGTGGGCATCAGGTGGCTGCCCCTCCCTACTGCCCCTGCTGTTCTGCAGGCAGAACGACCACAAGGGTAAGCAACGGGGAGAGCTCTTCCTGGCCCGCAGGCTGGCTTCGTCACTGTTCCCCGTTTCTTTCGTCAGTGTGCTTATGGTCTTGGTTCATAGAGAATTTTAGGGAGTCTGCTTAGCCATCTCGCTGGCTACTGAGCAATGGGGACCGGGGAGCAGGACAGTGTCAGAGCAGAATCTGTCTGGTAGCAGTTGGAGGATGCACCCAGATCCAGGAGGGCAGAGGTGAAGCAAGCACAGCCTGAGCCTGGTGCCTCATCCCTCCCCAATCGCAGGGGCAGGGCGCCTGCTCACAAAGGCTGCTGGTAGGGTGTTGAGCAAGATCCAGCGCACAGCTTTGGGAGTGAGTGTGAGAGTGTTTGCTTCTTTAGAGTGATGTAAGTGTGACCTAGCTATGGCCTTTATTCCAGGTGCGTGTAGGACAGATGTGTTGTGACTGTGCTCTGTTCAGATCACATTGCCAAGCAGCACACCGAGGACCTGTGGGTACATGAAAAGGTTTTGCAAAACGGAACAATCCATACTCAGGCACTTTATTTTCATTAATAACCCAGCATTTTCGTTCAGACCATGTAACAACCCGAACTCTGTGCATTCACACACGGCGTGTGGGCAGGAGTTCTGCCAGGAGGAGAAGGGCAGGTGTCTGGGTTGTGTCACACTGGAGTGCCACCGAGCTGTGGTGCAGACCAGGCCTGTCTGGGAGTGAAGTCACACAGCTAGGGCAGCGGCACCGTCCTCCCTTAGGTCCTGCCCAGTGCTGGCAGTTGCAGTGTTGCTGAGCAGAGGTGGTGTGAGTGGGGGCGCAAGGAGAGGCAGGCAGCAGGGGACCTGGCCGCCCTTAACTGGATCGAACACTCCAGTCAGAGCAGAGTGCTGAGGAGTGAGGTCATTTCTAGACAAGTACGCTTGTTTTAGCATCTGTTGTGGGCCGGGCACTGGCTGGCATGGCAAGTTTTGTAAGAGGGACTGCAGATGTGATGCCTGTGGTCCAATCAGGTGCCCCAGGCCAAAGGGGCCATGATTCCCAAAAGTATTCTGCTGCCACCAGACTTCGGGTGTCAGATGGGCCGTGTAGGATCCTGCCAGATGAGTGGGCAGCACAGCCCCTCCCTGCCTTGGCCATTGTGTCTTAGTTTTTTGTGTTTCCCTTTGGATCCCCCCATCTCTGTCCCCATCTTGTGCACCATGTGTCCCTGAGGGCGAGTCACACCTGTGTCTGAGTCTGCTGTATGGTGTTCAGTCTACCTCAAGGGTCATCATGGTAAGCTCTGTCCACACGAATCCTCCTTACACGCCACACACTGGAATGTATATCTCCCTGCCCTCCCGCCCTCCATAGCCCCTGACCCCGTGTTTCCTGTAATCACAACTCCTAGTGCAAATTGGATGCTGCTTTAAATGTGAAAACAATTGTTCAAAAGCTATAAAACCTGAATGAAAGCTAAAGCTGAATTTATAAGCCTTGTTGCATATGAGCCAAAAGTGCAAAAAGCTCTATATACTGAACTAACCTGCCACTCGTATAAATATAAATATATATAAATATATTAAAATCAGACTGTTCTACAAAATTGTGTATTTGTATTTTTGTGTACGTACAATTTTCTGCTAAGCAGAAGGAGGATGTAGTATAGGATGCTGTGAGAAAAGACTTGGTTTAATCCTGTTTCTTTGTTACTTATTTTTGTTAACATCAGATGCCTGTCCTTGTCTTCTGTGTTGACACTGTTTGGAAAGCTGCAGCATCTCTTCCTTAGGGCCAGGGTCCACGAGAGGATGATGTCTGGGGCTTTTGAGCTGTTGCAGCCAACAGCCACCCAACAGGGAGTGTGGCTCATGGAAGCCCCGGGTGGAACCCGGAGCCACTCATGGACCTTTGGTGGCACGGAGGGGAGGGGAGGGGAGGGCTGACGCACTTCAGACCAGGCTTGGCATTCTGACTTGCCTCTGGGAAGCAAATCCCACTTCTAGAAACCAACTCCCCAACAGAAACGTCAGCTCCCCCTAACGGACTGCACTGGGCCCATGGGGAGCCAGGCGGGAGAGCTCTGTCTTGGGAACAGGACCTCTGGTTTCTGGGCCATCCATCTGCCCAGGAAGCAGCACGTGGCTCTGCCTGGCTGGCGCCCAGCTCCCCTTCAGAGCAGTCGCTGCCCCACTTCACCACCAGACCTCCAGCCCACACCCTGGGGCATCTCAGAGCCCACTCTGCCGGTGCTAAACACAAGAGGGGGTTAAAGTGGCCACCAGTAAAGACCAGAACCTGCCTCCAAAGGCCAGGCCGAAAGATGAGCTCCGGGTGCCCACCGCTGCCCACCCACCTCAGCCCCCCAGTCCCTCGCTGGGAAGTGTCCCTAGGGAGAGCGATGCTGCATCTTCACCTGTAGGACTCAGTTCACGGCAGTGTGTGACTGTAGCAAGCAGCCCTTGTTTCTGGATGTAAATGGTCAAAGAAACAAGTGCTCTATTGTATTGATTAAAATAGTTCCAATGAGTCCTGTTTCATTGTATCTCCTATTCTGGATTAGTGCCTTTTGGACAGTAGACTGTTCTGTAATTAAAATGTAGTATATACTGCTTTTTTGTACAGTTTTGTTTTAATAAAACTTTTTTTTAATTTGTGTTTATTTTAGTATTGTACCTATTAGAGAATAAAATGTATAACTGAACAAAGGCTGGCTGGGATTTTTTTTTTGGATCAGAACATGCTCATTTGGGAATGCCTGTCATTGCTGAAGGGGTTCAAGGGTCCTATTCTTGGCACTCTTTTCTGCTTTTCTCAAAGGGATAGGGGAGCCCAGAGACCTGTGGAGAGGCTCACAGCACCGGGCACTACGAGCTTCAGAAAGCCCCCCATCTCCCACTTCCTGACCCTCCAACCAGTGCTCTTGGGCACCTGCTCCGTGTGGTCTTTCAGGAGCTCCCCTGCCCCAAACCACCTTCCCCAAGGAGGGAGCGCTGCTCAGCCTGCCTGCTGGGTCTCTCCTGGGACTCCTGGCTTTGTGGGCCTCAGCCCTGGGAGCAGCCTTTATGGTGCCTGGCAGCTTCGTCTGTATAAAGGAGCTCACTCTCGGGCTTCCCCTTGAACAGGAGAAACAACAAAAGCTGACGCTCCATCTTGGTTTTCTTTCTAGGCATGCAGTTTCTGAGCAGACTCATGCCACACTCTGGAGCCCACTGATTTTCCTCTGAGGAGAGGGGCTCTTTTTTTTCTTCTCAGTAGAATTAGAAAAGTCCACAAAATTTTAAAGCTGCCCCAAACCTTGGAGTTGCCAAAGGGAGACAGGTAGGGCAGGACAGCAGATGTGGGCGGAGGCCCAAGCAGGACCATCCCCACCCCATGCTGCTCTGCTACTTGGCCTCAACTGCCATTTCCCCTTACGCAGAAACCATGAGCTGTCAGTACCCAACCTGCTTGCCTGCCTGCCTTCCTGTCTTCCATGTGTGCTCTTCAGCCTGGCGTCTTCCCAGCTGCCCTTCACCAAGTCCCCTCGATGGAGTCCCAGGGCCGCCTTCCTCACACCCCACCAAGGCAACAGGCCCACCTACCGTGAGGCTCATCAGGATGGCTGTCTCCACTGGACCATATGCTCCAGGAGGCTGGGCTCAGCACAGGTACCAGTGTTCCAAGTGATTCAATTAGTGAACAAATGAACTAATGGTGACATCCACTGGGAACCCGTCCGGGGGTCTGAGCAACTATAAAACCCCAGAGCCTGATGCAAACAAAAGGCATCTCATTGAGTTGCAAGAAAACAGCCGCTTGAGAACTTAGGCTTTACCCTCAGACCTGGATAAATTCCACTCAGATTCCTGCTGCTTTCAGAGCAGGGCTGCTCCTGGCTGCCGCATTTCTGTCCCTAGTTGGCAGTGCTTATCTCTTGAGAACAACTCATCTGCACTTAGGAATACAAACAAGTCCCATTCAGTTGTGTTCTGGCGGATGGCCACAGCCCTCCGTTGGCAAGGAGGCCGTGGCTGTCGGCCATGAGGGGAGGGCCGAGTGATGCAGCGGCCAGAGAGGAAACCTGCACAGGGCGGCGGTCCTGTGGCCGTGAGTGGGACTTCACAGGCAGAGCCAAGGGCCCTAGCCACCTCTCCCGGCTCAAAGGCCAACCTGCCATCCTTGGTGTGCTCCAGACCTATGCTGGGCACACAGCTGGGCAGATGGCGGTAGGAGGTCAGCCTCACTGGCAGTAGGGCCCAGTAAAACTGTCAGGCCCCACAGCCCACCTGGACTTGACCCAGACCCTGCCAGCCACAGCCATCATCCTCCCTTCCCAAAACCCTTTAATGCAGAAACGTGCGGGGTCTGTCTACCTTTCAGCTGTAGAAGACACCCTCTGCTCCTCAGTTCAATGCGGGGTGAGGCCTGTGGCATGGGTCAAGGTGGACAGTGCAGCCCTGCCTATGCTGGTTTTCTGAACAGGCTAAGGAGGGGTGTGTGCCAGGCGACCCTTCTAGCTTCCATCTTGAGATGCCCACCACCACCACCACCAGTGACAACAGGGCCATGACGGGGACAGTCTGTATGAGCCCCTGTCCGTGTAGAAAAGGGAGGAAGCAACAAGACCAACCCCAGACAAGGCAAGAAGTCATTGGCTTTATTCAGAAGCTGCTGGTCATTTGATGGGAAGGCATATATGGTACAGAGTTACAGCGTTTAGTTCACCACACAGAGGAATCATTAAAATCTTTACAATTCATTACAGTCTTTGGAATTTTTTTAACTCCCATTTAATGTGTACCAAATCACTATAATCCCCAAATCAAATCACTTCTCTGTGTGAACTCAAGATATTTACAAAATCCACACAGAGAAGCTGTTCAGACTCTCCCAACACCAGTAGCGTGTGCAGCTCACCAGGGCACCAGGCCTTTCAGAGAGAAAGAGGCTTTGGGTACAGTTGTTGTGGGGGTGCACCCCAGGGAAAGGCACTACAGATGGCCCCGCCACCTCAGTGCCTCCTAAGGTGGCATAGGGCTGATGGCACCAGAAGCATCAAAATACGCTCCACACCCTGTAGCCTCCACAGACAGGGCGCCTAAGCAAGGACAAATCGAACCCAGAACCTCCTGCTTCATGTATAGGCAATGCTTAAGCCCAGGGGAGAAAAGACCAGGAGTGAAGGGGACATGGACACCTGCAGGCCTTCCCAGGAACCCAGACACACACCTTCCCTTTGCCTCCACTGCCCAGCACTTCAGTGACCATCCCTACTGCACACCCTTGTTTCTCCAGCCACAAGTTAGTGTTAATCTACGCCAAAGAGCAAGAGGAAAGACTAAACCTGAGCAGGCCTCACCCAGCGCCTGCACAGCTCGCCTAGCGGGAGACAGGGCTGCCCAGGAAGCCAAGGGTAGCATTAGTGCTGAGAGCCTCCCACAGGGAGCAGCTAGTGCCTCCCTCTGCCCTAGGGGATGAGTAGGTTGAGTGCAGGAAGGACCCAGGGGCAAGCTGCGGACAAGGCCCAGTGGGGTGCTGTCCACCAGCCTCCCCTCCAGCTGTGCTGTCCTTCCAGAGGCCACATCCTGCCCTTGGGGCAGGGGCAACAGAGGCACGCCCTGCACCCCCTCAGCTATGGACACAGACACAACACCAACAGAACCAACTCCTCACAGGCTCACGAGACCCCGAGCACAAGACCCTAAGCTGGAAGAAAACTCCAGCCAAGAGCACAGAGATGTCTCCACACCACAGCACATGCCTGTCCCCGCAGGCCTGTGAACAAGGCTGGAAAGGAGGCTGAGCTCACTGCACCAGGTAGGGGGTGACCCTGGGAGATGGGGAGAAGGAGGCTGGGGTGAGAGAAGGTGTCCCGCACTCTGCAGGGCAAGGACAGGGGCCTGAGCCACGTTGGTCAGCCTCCCCGCTCCTGCGCTCCTCCTCACAAGCTCTTCAAGTCGATGATCCCTTTTTATCCTCCTCCACTTTAAAGGCCCAGAATGATGAAGAGAATGATGAAGAACAGCACCAGGTTCCACTCCCGGGCCTATGACCATGGCTCCAGCAGGCCCTGCCCGACTCCCACCTCCAGCTTTCTCTCCTGGGGCTCCCGGGGCTGGGCCTGCCCGAGGGAGGGGCTGGTCGCTGCCCAACAGCCACACAGGGGACACTGACTCCAACTGAACCAGACTCCAGAAGAGCCAGGCTGCGCAAGAGGGAAAGGAGAAAAGCCAGGCAGAATCCACAGCCCACAGTGTCCCCAAAACAGGAAGGGAAGGCCGCTGGTCAATGCCTGCCTCAGGATGGAGGCTCCCTCCAGTCATGCTGTCCCAGAAAGGGGCAGACCGGATCCCCTTGGCAGGGCCTTGGCCAGCCCTGACCCCTCACAGTGCCCGCTCACAAGGGAGGATCATGAAGACGCCAGCCCCAGGGCAGGCCTGTGCAGACACAGGCTGGACGCTGACCCTGCCCGAGGGACTGCTCCGGCCTTAGGCTGTTCCCGGCCGTCCCCTGGTGGTCAGACTGCCCTGGGTTAATTGTCCTGGCCTCTGGCACCGTGTGCTGCCCATGCTGGCCAGAGAATGCAGGGGGGCCAGCTCGGGCTTGGTGGCCCCATCTGGAGATAAGGTCTAGCACTGCTTCTCATAAGGAGCTTCAAACCTCTTTAGAACCGGGTTCCTCACCAAAAACTTCTGCGATGGTGTTTCCAAGAACCAGACCCAGCCTCCAGGAGTGCCCAGTGCAAACTCCGGCCCAGAGGTGCTGTCCTGAGCTGGGGTCGGTGGGCAAGTTGGGGCTGTTGGAGACAAGACAGTCTGAGGGTATCCTCCACACACACACACACACACACACACAGACACACACGCGCACACACACACACACACGCTGCTCCACTCAACACAGCTGACAGGAAGGGCCCCAGGATAAGAAGCCTCCCATCTGGCAAGGAGGGGAGCCACCCCTGGGGAGGCTGTGGCTGGGGGCCTGCCTGCAGCTGCTCTGGGGGCCTAGGAGGGCAGCCAGCCGCTCCCTCCCCAGGCCGCCTGCCCGCCAGGTGGAGGAAGTTAAAATGCCACCGCGCACCAGCGAGGGGGGTGCCCCTCTGTGCTCCTCCCCTGTCCGCTCTCCTCGTGGACAAAGGCCACCAACAAACACGTGTGTGCAGGCTACACACACACACACACACACACACACGCACACGCACACGCACACTCCCGTCTCCCCCAGGAAGCGCTGCCCAGGCAGGAGGCCCGTGTCTGAGGACCAGAAAGGCCAGGGCACTCAGGAAGGCCCAGCACCAGCCCAGGCAGAGGGCGATTGAGCTCGCAATGATTTCAGATTTTAAAAATAAATATAAATAAATATATCCCAAGCATCCGGTTAGGAGAATCAATAGCAAACAGAAGACCTTCCAGCCAGGTCTAGAAGCCAGGGCTCCCAGAGACCCTGCAGGAAGCCCTCTGCTGCGCCCCAAGCCCCAGGCTTGTCCCCTGCAGGGAGGCGGGACAGGGACAGCCAGGCCCATGGGGCCGGGAGGCGGGAGCCCGGCAGGTGCTGGGAAAGTCACTCCTTAAATTAAGGAGTTAGGGGTGCCAGAAGAGGGAAAGGGTACGCACACAGACCCTGATGGGTGTCCCCAGGCAGGCGGAGTCCCCAAGCCTCCCATGGTGGAACCACCACCCAGGCTCCTCCGGCTCCGCACTTCCCACCCGCCACCGGGAGGCACAGCTGGGGGGCCGACAGGGAGAAGCCAAGCTTCCAGGGCCGGGAGGACAGGGAACGGACAGTCACCAGCCCTGTGTCGTGCAAAGAGCATTCCTCAGCCTGCTTGGGGAGGGTCGGCAGGCTCCCTGGGTGTCTGCCTGGGGAGGCGGTGGCTCAGCTGGCCCAGGACTTCCGGTTCTCGGGGTTCTTGTGGCCCCTGTCGGCCTTGGCCAGAGCGGCCGTCAGTGAGGCCAGGTTGCTGGCGGAGCCCGAGAGGGTGGCGCTCCGGCGGGCCTCGGGGGCGCCCTGCGGCCGGAGCCCCGAGCTGCGCCTGCGCCCAGCCCCGGCAGCCCTGCGCACGCGCCCAGGCCGCACCAGCAGCCCGTAGCCCGGGTTGCACTTGAAGTACTGCTTCCCACCAATGGAGCCGTCATTCTTTCCTGCAAGGGAAAGGAAAAGGTGGCATCATGGAGGGGCGCCCTGTCACCTCCCTTGCTGTGTACCCAAGATTGCCTCTGTGCCTGGTACCAACGGCTCAGGCCCTGCTTGGTCCAGCAGGAACCAGGGCATGGGGTGACCACTGCCAGGGCAGCGAGCAGTGGTCACCAGAACTGGCATCCCTCAGCCCCGTGGCCTCGGGCGACAAGCCCTGCAGAGGACGTGGGGAGGCGCAGAGCGGGCTCGGCCACTCCAGGGGCACAGGTCACTGCACTGAGTGAGCAGAGCCGACTGTGGCCAGCGGCACTGGGAAGACTCAGCCCTGAATCCACAGGGTGGGACCCACAGACGCCACGCCTCATGTGCTCAGAAGGGACAAGGGGGACAAAGGTTTCCTTGTGAGGGCCAACAAAACACATCTAAGAGGCGGTGCAGGGCGGGGTCCGTGCAGCCGGGCGGCAGGGGCGAGAACCCTGCAGCAGGACCAGCAGCAGCCTTCCTGGCCACCGCAGCAGCCGGCTTGGCCAGCACAGCCGCCCCCATAGTCTGCTTGGGGACAACTCCTCGCTACTTCCTTCCCCAGCTCTTCCACATCCTTTCCACTCTCCAATGCTGGAGCTGCTTTGCCTGTCTGCCCACCTGCCAGGCCCTGGGCTCTCAGGGGGACGCCCAGGCCTGGCCTGCAACTAACATGTGCGTCCAAAGCAGAGTCCTTGCAACTTGGTCAGTGACCCCTTATCTAGCCTGTCGTCACACCTGAGCTGTCATCCCTGTCTCTCCTGAGGGCCACCCAGCCCTCTGGCTGTGGTCCCACCTGCCCTGACAGGGGGTCCTCTCGGCCTGGATGGCCACAACCTCCCTGCCCGGCTGCTCCACATCCTCTCTCCAAGCCACACTCTGTTCACACCCTCCAAAGCAGGGACACAGAATCCATGGTGTCAGTGGCCGGCCTTCGAGCCTGGCCCTGCCTTGAGGTTCACATACTCGGGCCCTTGGATACAACTGCCCTGCCTGACCAAAGGCCACCTTCCCACCTTTCTCCTCTGTTCATCCATTTGGTTTTCCTGCTTAGTATAAAATACCCTCTACACCCACCCTCCTCACCCCTTAGTACATTTTATTTTCTTCATAGCATTTATTACTATCAAATTTTTTTGTTTACTTGGTAATTTTATCCCCTCTAAATCCCCTCCTGAGTTGCAAGCCCAGCAACTCAGGAGGCTGAGGCAGGAGGATCATAAGTTCGAGGCCAGGTGACCCAAAGCAACTTAGACCCTTACTCAATATAAGAAATACAAAAGGCCGAGGTGAAAGTGCCCCAAGTTTAATCCCTGGAACAAAATAAATAAAATCTTTTAAAAAATACAAGTCCAGTTATATCAGGGGCTTTGTTCTGTTCACCAAGGTATGTTTGGAATCTAGCAACTTGAATACAGTATGTGTTACTACTCGTAGATGAATTATTTGCTAATACCCTTTTAATTCTTGTTTTGTTGTTTTTTGGGTACTGGGGATTGAACTCAGGGGTACTTGACCACTGAGCCACATCCCCAGCCCGATTTTGTATTTTAGAGACAGGGTCTCACGGAGTTGCTTAGCACCTCGCTTTTGCTGAGGCTGACTTTGAACTCGTGATCCTCCTGCCTCAGCCTCTCGAGCTGTTGAGATTACAGGTATATGCCACCGTGCTCAGCACGTGTACACTTTAAATGGGTAGAGCTTATAATATATGAATTTCTTCCCAATAAAGCTGTTTTAAAACAATACTGAGGGCTGTAGCTCAGTGGCAGAGCACTTGCCTAGCATGTGTGAGGCACTGGGTTTGATCCTCAGCACCACATAAAAATAAACAAAGGCATCTGTCCATCTACAACTATAAAAAGTAAAAAAGTTAAAAAAAAATAATACTGAAAAAACTTTTGAAGAACAAATATACCCTCAAGTCTTGCCCCTGTTCTTCTCATTACTTCTAAGATCTGACACTCAATCACATGATCCAAGAGGCTGCAGCAGATCACAGGTCCCCTCGTCACCTCATCCAGAGCTCCCAACCTGCGGACTGAGGCCAGGGGCTTACACCCTGAGCCCAAGCTACTGTTCTATTTCAAAAGCAGGCGCTTGTGTAACTTAAAAAAAAAAAAAAGTGCTGGGTGCAGTGGCATGCACCCTAGTCTCTGCTACTCAGAGGCTGAGATAGAGGGTCATCTGAGGACAGCCTGGGCAACACACTGAGACCCTGTCTCAAACAAAAAAAAAGCATTTAAAACCATTATTAAATTTATAGTAGCTTTCAGTGACAATCTTGGGTTTCTTAGAAAGTTGAAAGTTAAACAAGAAAACTAACTCATCTACTGAAGATTCCTGGTTTTGAGAAGCCACAGCTGGGAGACTCAGCCAGGTTGTGCCCTGGGAACCCAGCACCCCGGCAGTGCCACCTCATGTGGAGCTGCCTCCCTGTCCCCACCGGCCACCCTCCAGGGACCACTTACCTGACGGAAGGTCCAGCTCCACACCAATCCATGTCCCCTCCTGGAAGTCAGCAGGCCCGACGTACCTCACGATGCCTGTCTTGTTGGTGCCCACGGCAACGTACTCCCCCTCTTTGAGCCACTCGGGCACTTCACTGGTATCCTCAGAATCAGAGGCCACTTCTGGTGTCCCCAGGGCCTGCCCCCCAGTGTCACCAGACCCTACTGTGGCAAGCAGGTCCTCGTGGATCCCAGGGCCACCGCCCAGCATGCATGTGAACGACTTCAGCTCCGAGGTCCGCACCTTCTGGATTCTGAACGGGGACACAGGTGCCAACGGTGGGGGGTCAGGGAGCAACAGGGCCCTGGAGGCCTCAGGGTCCCTGCTGGGGGCAGGCGGGGGAGGCTGGGCAGCAGGCTCCTCACGTCCAGGTGGGTGGCTCTGCGCACAGGAGGGAAAGGCCAGCCCAGCCTCCAGGGCGGCCTGGCTGGGCGTTGGTGGAGAGCCAGGCGTCTGGCCAGCAGGGACAGCAACATCCAGGCCCAGGCAGAGTGCATCGGACAGGGTGGCAGTGGAGACGCTGTGAGAGAAGTAGCCGCTGGAGGCCTCGCTCAGGGGGCTGGGGGGGCCGTCCTGCCCTTCCGGGACCTGGGTGACCACAGCGGCGGGCGGTGGGGAAGGCACTTTGGCTGGTTTCTCGGAGCTCTTCGCCCCAGGGGCTGCCGTCTGCGCCGCAGTCTCAGAGGCCACACCAGGTCCGAGGCTGCCTTGCTGGGCCTGCAGCAGGAGGGAAGCACCACTGAGAACTGCAGGTGGCACCCGCCCAACACAAGCCAGGGAGCAGCCCCCCAGAGAACAGGCCTGGCTCTGGGCAGGACAGCCCTGGCCACAGTGCAGCCTGTGTCTAACGTGACCCTGGTCTTGCACACAACTACTCCAGGTGTGCACAGCACTGATGCTGGGGAGAGCACTGAGCAACATGGCGAAGGCCCGTCCCTTATGTAAACACAGATGCCCATCCCTGCCACCCAGAGGCAGGGCAGGAGGCAACGCCCCTGGCCTCAAAGAGCAGCACACTAAAACCCTGCTGCCCCGTCATGGCCTCTGTGGCCTCCCACACTCAGTGGCAACCCGGACACTGTGGAAACAGACCCTCCCACCACCAGCCTCGCGAGGCAACGGGAGAAGCACTGAAGAGGCCAGAGAGCACTTTCCCAGCAAAGTCCAAGTGATGACCTCATCGGAGGGTCCGAAAGTGCTCAGCAGTGCGGGCACCATGCGGGCACCAGGAGGGGCTGACCCTGGCTGGGGGTCGAGGGGGAACGAGGGGGACAGAGTCAGCCTGCGGCCTGCCCTTTCTTCCAGAAGCTGTTTTCTCTGGCTGCTGTAGAAGCCAGGGCCAGTCGGGGGTCAGGGACCTCTAATCCTGGAACAAAGACCAGAGGAGCCACTGGAGGACAGAGCTGCTGGTGGCTGGGCCAGCCTCTTCTCTTCACATGGCTCCCGGAGTCCCCAGCAGAGGACACACACAGAGCCAGGTCTCACGGGCGAGGACAACAGCCACCACTTGTCCAAACCCTAGTTTCCGAGCTACACGAGGTGCCTGCGTTTGCGACTGAAGCCCTGGCAGGAACGGCGGTGCTGGGGAGAAGGCGGATGGGGCGAGCTGGGTGGGGTGGGATGCTGTTCAGAAAAAGAAATATGTTTTCCAATATTTATGGAAAATTATTTATATTACAGGAATGGTCATTCCCCATTTGAAACACAGGATTTATTTGAACTGGGAAACGGCTGAGATCTATAAGTCTCTTACAGTTACTTGGCTTAACTCAGCAATTTGATAAATCACGCATTTTCCCGTGGATTGTCATTTATATTCCTGTTTCCAGGGGCCTTCTCTCCCCACAAGGCACACTTTCAGGGGATGAAATTAACGGCACCTCCTGAGATTAACAGCCCATTTTTGTGATGGATCTCTGGGCTGCAAAATTTACTCAATCCAATAGATCAATAACTGTCACCATCATAAATACTCTAAAAGATTAGGCGATCCTTCAATCGTTTTTCTTTTGCAACCTGTACATGTTTTATTTATTCTTCTGCATTTTAGTTTTAATGTAACTGACCATGTGGGGAAGAATACGCAGACGAGAGGAGGGCAGAGCCTCAACAGCCACCGAGTCTGTCCCCGCAGCTGCGCCCCTGGCTGCTCAGGGCCAGCGGGGGCCTGGGGTGGTCCAGGCTGGTCCAGAGATGCTGCCGTAGTTTGCAGGTGTCACTGAGGAAGGACAGGCAGGAATGCAGCACGTTCACTCTACCCCTTGGCCCAGCTGAAGGGTCATCCAGGGCCCCGAGAAGGGAAAGGAGCTGGAGGTGAAGCGACAACAAGGGACCGGAGAGGGCAGAGGTGGCCAACTGCGCCCCAGCCCTCCGGGCCCCGGCCCGCAGCACTTCTCCACTGGACCCGGTGGGGGGGGTGACTTGAAACCTAGCTGCCATCTCTTGACTTTACCTTGACCATTAAGAGAGGCATTTCCAGAAAATTCTGTGAAGGCCGAGCTGAAAGAGCCGCCAGAGGCTCTGTGGGAGCTGGGTGGGTGGCTGTCCTCACCACAAGGCCCTGCTCTCCCTCCACGGGCTGGACAACCCCTGGCTCGGCAGAATGACCACTGCACTCTCAGGGAGAGGACACGTGGCACGTCCCCGGGGAGAGTCGTGACACCCACAAGCAGTGGAGCGAGAAGGCCTTAGAGCATGAGGGGTGCCGGGAGGTGTGAAGCCTCTCTCGAATTACGGGGCCTTTTTTGCTGTTGTTTTAATAAATAAAATTTCCCTATGAAGATGGAGCATTTCCTAAGAGAACGGCGGCACAGTGGGAGAAAATAGCTTCTCGGCTCCTCAGATCCCAAGTGCTGTTGATCTGTGGGAGACCGTGAGAGACTGTTTTCTCCAGCTTAGGATTAGTGTCTTCACGCTGATACCCTGAATCAGAATGAAATGTAAAACTAAGAATTAAGCAAACACTGAGAAGAAGGAGACTGTTCTGTTTATAGAACCCCCTCCGCCTAGCAGTGGGCTATTGCAGCACAGACGACACCAGCAGCCACACGATTAGGGGTGGAAATAGAAAGGGCCACAGAGGGAGAAGCAGTGACCTGCACTGTGGTTCACTATCAAAACAGGAACGAGAGGAACAAAGAGCAGGTGTGCATCAAACAGTGCTAGTGTCGGGGCCACCCACAGCAGCTGGGGCAGCCCCAACCCGAGCCACTCACCTCCTCTGTCCTGGTCACCCGGGCATCGGCGAAGGCTGGCTGCACCAGGATCCGAGGCGCCGGCTGAGGAGACAAGCATGCTGTAAGGGGGCTGGACAAGGGGGACCACTGGAGCAAGTCTTCCCTGGACAGCGGAATGCCATCAGAGGGCCCCTGGGAGAATCTTCACAACACTTGGGAATTTCACGCACCTGGACAGCCAGGTGCATGGTGCCAGGGCTCCAGGCCACAGAGGAAGCAACTAAGCCAGTGAGTGCCGCCAGCCAGCACACAGGCCTGAGCGCCCCAGCAGACGCAGCATGACCAAGGACTGTGCTGTGCAGACACGTGGCGTGAGACTTTGCATGGAGAAGTAACTGGGTCAGGAAAGACCCAGAAAGACTGCGGGCAGGAGCTGGAAGCTGCCCCACACTGGGGCCAGGGAGAACTCATGGACACATGCGTCAAGAAAGCAGGAGAAGAAAGCCACTCTCTGGAGCAGAGAGAGCAGGGGTGACTACAGGAGGCCTTAGGTGCCTGAAACTAACCTACCTAGGTGACAAAAGGGGGTCACCCGATTCCTGAGCAAAGCAAGCAGAAGACACTGAATGTCAGGCTAATCTGGCAGTGGAATGCAAACTGACCAGAGAAGCATTTAAAGTCCAAAGAGAAGATCAGTAACAAGGGTCCCCAGCAGAGCAGGTGTGAGGCGAGAGTCTGAACTAACGGACACAAGCAACACACAAGAAAGGACGTGGTCACCATGGACACATGATCCAAGGACATACAGAACGAAGATCAAAAAATAACAAGAGCCAGAATAAGGAAAAGGAAGTCAGGAGGAAGAAATGGAAACGAATGGTCATTTTGTACCTGCTGGGTTTAAAACACAGTGGGACCAAGAGGAAAGGAGTTGATGATTTGTCTCTGGAAGAAACCAGGCTCCACCATTCCTGTCTTAGCTGCTCACCAGCCTCTGGCTCCTCCCAGGTCCCCCAAGGTGCTCCAAGGTGCTGGACGGAGCCAGCTCTGCATGCTAAGCCCTGAAGAGGGACCGTCCTGGCAGGGTGGGTGCAGACAGGCCAATGACTGCAGGTCCCGCTCCCCTACAGAGTCCACCTGTCAGCCTCCCTGTTCTTCCCTAAGCCATCCAGGTGCAATGGCTCCTGTGTGTCCTGGGGCCCTGAGGCACCCACAGGGTCGATGCCCGACTTCCCTCTGCCTAAACTGATACTTGCCTGAAGGGAAAAGAGCCTTCCTGGACCAAGATGATCCACTCAGCAGGTGTTAACCCGCGTCCACAGCCACGACACAGCCACACGTGGCAAAGGGCACCCCTCCTGCCACGGGCAGACGTGGATGAGCAGGGCTACTGGGAACTGATTCTGCTAAAGGGTTTGAGGGAGGGCACAGAAGAGAGGATCCAGGAGACCACAGAGACATAGCTCAGAGGGTGGAAGGACACGATAAGCACACACACTCTACCCAGCAGACACTGGGGCGCTACCACGGCGGGGAAAGGCAGGAGAGGGGCTCAGAGGCGTGTTTCAGAAAGGTGTAGGGGCAGGGTACCTGGCGGCAGGGCCACTACAGCTGCTTCCATTCCCTAACCATTCCGGGGTCTGGCTGGTGACCCCACCCGTCTCTCACACTCTGTTCCTCTCCCTCCTGCCCTGCCACCTGCCCACGTGGACTCCCTGACGGACCAGAAAGCGTCCAGCACACACCTTGCCCTCCAGCCACAGTCCTAGAGTGGGGGCTGCTGGCTCTGTTTTTAGTTTTTTCCCCACAAGTATCTAAGGTCCCCTGCAAACTGGAAGGTAAATATTTAGTATATACTTCTTAGTAAAGGCAAAATAAAGTTTCTTATGCTCGAACTCTAAAATACTTAGAATCTTCAGTTAGATCTGACTAGATAAAAGATAAAAGATAATAGATAAAAGACTGTGGTTGATCATTTCCACCCAGGTGAAGCTTAGACCTTAAAGCATAAAAATATAGAAACCCTACTAAAGGTGAAATGGTGACAACCTAGGATGGAACTTTTCCTAAAATGACACTCCTTCCCCTTTAAAACAGAGCTTTGAAACACAGTTTACACTCTTCCTTATGCCTCAGGGTGACCATACAATCCAGGAGATAACTTAATCTCTGTTGAAATGAATTCAAGGACCAGACTGGATGTGACACTGGTTCTGACACTCGACACAGGTCTCCAGGGCTTGAATGCACAGGGCCTTGCACAGTGCCACCAGCAGCAAGGAGCCCAGCCAGGCCCGCACTGTCCAGCCTTGGCGGGGCGTGTGCACGCAGGCAGCAGGGATGCAATCAACCTCTGTGTGGAAATGGCGAAAGCAGAAGGGATCCAAAGGACGGAACCATAACTGGATGTGTCCTGAACACCTGCAGGGGTGGGGGGCGCAGACTGCCAGCCTGAGCAGCATGACAGGCAGCGGGCAGAAGAGGCCCGGTTTGTGAGACGTTCTGTGGACTCACAGCTCAACCCTGGAAAAGCTCCTCCTTCCTTCAGGTCTTGGGGAGGAAAGGCCTACCCAGAATGACCAGCACAGGACAGAGGGCAGGAGGCCTGTGCGCTCTCAGGTGAATCTCTAGGGCAGCAGAGAGCCACCACAGGCCACGAAATGAAAGGGCAGTAAGACTGTGCTTCAGAGGTCAGCCCTGAGGAAGGAGATACTGGACACAGAGATCCATGAAGAGGCAGGTTCCCAGTGGCCCCACGGAGGGCTACTCAGACCTGAAGTTGGACAGTAAGAGGAAAAGGAAACAGAAATGGAAGTTCAGAGACAGAAGGCGACTAACACTCAAAACAACTGGTTGTGTTGGCAATTTGTTCAAGACAACACCCAGGGCGAGGGTGAGGGAGGAGAAGGCGGTATCTGCACACGTGCGGCTGGCAGTACTGGACCTTCCATGTTTGGCGATGGCCTCTGATGTGTCCAGCAACCTCTTTAAGGGCACCAGATAAGTCTGCAGAGTATGGAATCTTAACCATGCCATTTCCCCTTCACACATAAGAGCTCAAATGCTTGTTGTTTGCATTTTAATGCTCTTTACGCCTCTGTGCAGGCATCGCCTCTATTTCAGGAGCTCAAACATTTCAGATCATAAGTTCATTAATCCTTATGACACATCTGGTAACTATTAATAAAAATGACTGCAAAGTATTCTGCAGCTATAAATATCATGGAGAAGTCCCATGAGGGAAGCGAATATATTATCAACACTCCACACAACACAGTCGGCTCACAAAGCATTGCCTGCCGGAGCGACACACTCAGAGATGGGACAGGAAGAGTCCTCCAGTGCCGCCAAACCAACAGGCACACGGGGTACTGCTGAGGCTGCAGACAGCAGGCCCCACAGCAGACGGCTCAGAGACACTTCAGACAGTCACTTCCCGGGTCAGACCTCACGGTCTTTAAGCTCTTATTTCCACATCCCACACCAATACGGGCGTGTGGCTCCGAGTTTCATGACTTGGAATAAAGGCTGTTTTGGACCCCTCTGCCTAGAAGAATAACGTCCTGGCATGACACAGACCACGTTCCCATGGCTGCACCCTGCCCTGCTCACCACCACCGCCCCCCCAACTTTGCAATGCACTGCTTTTCCGACAGAGTCCACCTGGTGAACATCTCTTCACCTGCAAGTCTCAGCTCAGGCATGACCCAGCCTTCCTGAAGACAGGGAGAAGTGTGTGACAGCACTGGCAGAATGTTCTACGTGTGTCTGTGTGTCTGCACCTGCTGCTCTCAGGGAGCCTCTCAACCCTGACCTCTGATGGGCAGGAAGTAGGTCAGCTTCTCATTGGTGAAAACCCAATCACTCTGGGGGATGTGCATCTGGAAGGTGGAGATCCCCATGAATTCTCTAGGCAACATTCCCCGGCTGGCAGACTGGTGGCCACCGCTGGGTCTCTTTGGAGACACCATTACACTGCCTGCCCCTTGCCAATTTCAATCAGCACATCACAGTACAGATATGCCAGGCACAGGAAGGTGGCTTCAGATTCCTGACCACAACTGTAATCCCTCTGAGGCTTTTACACACTTTCACATAGATTCCATTTCATCCTCTTTGAACTCAACTTCCACCCCACAGCCAGAGGGAGCTTTCCACAGACAGATGTGACCTTGTCGCTCTCCGCTTCCCAGCTGTCCATGAGCAGGCACTGCCCACGGGATCAGAAAGGAATGAGTGCGACAAGGAAAAGTGAACAGGTCACACTGGGCTGGTTCCTCCCTCAAATACTTAACTCATTTACTCTAGAATAATCACTTGGTCATTTTTAATTAAACAGCTGAGTTTTCCTTTGGTGTGGGGGTGGGTACTGGTGATTGAACCTAAAGGCTACATCCCTGAGCCCTTTTTATTTATTTATTTATTTATTAAAAGAGAGCGAGAGAGATAGAGCAGTAGAGAGAGAAGTAGGTCTCAAGTCTCCATCCAAATACAAGGCCCTAGCTGGATGCTTCTTGAATGAAGAAACAAGCATCTGTGTGATTACTTAACAAGTGACACAAAGAAGACGGAACTGCAGACAGCATGTGGGAGAAACAGATCTTCTGAAATTTGGACACAAGGTTAGGCAAAGGAGGGAAAAGTTGAAGGGAAAAAAATAATCACTTTAAAACTTTCCCAACACCGAATTTTCTGATGCATATTTTTTCTTGTTTGAAAATAAACCTTTCCAAATAATCACCCTGTACACTGAATTTGATCAGTTGTTAAATGTCATTTTTAATGATACCTAAATTAATATAATCCTCTGTCTTTTTTGAAAAACACTAACCAGTGATTTAAATCCAATTATAGGAAATTCTTTCTATGATAAGAGATGTAATAGTTCGTTTTTTGCTACAAATAATCAAGAACTAACCTATTATTTTCCTACTGCTAAAGTGAGAAAAAGAGACACAATAAAAGCAACCCAGGGGTGCTCTACCACTGAGCTACATTCCCAACCCTTTGTATTTTTTTTTAATTGTGAGACAGTGTCACACTAATTTTTAATATTTATTTTTTAGTTTTTGGCGGACACAACATCTTTGTTTGTATGTGGT